AAGCCCCCCCCCCCCCCCCCCGCGCGAGAAGAAGAACACACCAACGGTAGGAGGGAAGGAGGAAAAGAAGGAAAGAGGGAAGGAAAGAGGGAAGGAAGGAAGGAAGGAAGGAAGGAAGGAAGGAAGGAAGGAAGGAAGGAGAAGGCCTGGCCCGACAGAGAGCGTGGAAACTTGCCCAACCGGCAAACAGGCAGGAAGACCTGCCTTGAAACGCGCCTCCCACCTGCCCCGTGCTGGGTCTCCCTTCCTGCCGGTGCCCAGGCAAGAGGTAGAGAAGGAAGGAAAAAAGGGAAGGAAGGAAAGAGGAGGAAGGAAGGAAAGAAGGGTAGAGAAGGAAGAAAGAAGGAAAAGAAAAAGAGAAAGAGAAAGAGGGGGGAAGGAAGGAGAAAAAGAAGGAAAGAGAAGGAAGGATGGAAGCAAAGAGCAAAGGAAGGAAAGGAAAAGGTAGAGAATGAAGGAAGGAGGAAAAGAAAAGGGAAGGAAGGAAGAAGAGAAAGAAGGAAAGAGAAGGAAGTATGGAAGGGAAGAGCAAAGGAAGGAAGGAAACAAAGAGGTAGAGAAGGAAGACATAAGGAAGAGAAAAGGGAGGGAGGGAGGGAGGGAAGGAAGGAGAGAAAGAAAGAAGGAATGAGAAGGAAGGACTGAAGCAAAGAGCAAGATGGAATGGAAGGAAGAGGTAGAGAAGGAAGAAGAAGGAAAAAGGGAGAAGGAAAGAGGAAGAGGAAGAGAGAAGAAAGAAAGGAAGATGGAAGCAAAGAGCAAAGGAAGGAAGGAAAGAGGGAGAGAAGGAAAAAGGAAAAAAGGAAGGAAGGAAAGAGAAGGAGGAAGGAGAGAAAGAAAGGAAGAGAAGGAGGAGAAAGAAGGAAAAAGAGGAGGGAAAGAAAGAGAAGAAGAAAGAAGGAAAAGAAGGAGGAGAAAGAAAGAGGGATGGAAGGAAAAAGGAAAGAGAAAGGGAAAGAGTAGAGAAGGAAGAAAGAAGAAAAAGGGGGAGGGAAGGAAGGAAGGATGGAACCAAAGAGAAAGGAAGGAAGGAAAGAAGTTAGAGAAGGAAGAAAGAAGGAAAGAGAGGAAGGGAAGGGAGAAAGGAGAGAAAGAAAGAAGGAAAGGAAGGGAAATGGAACCAAAGAGCAAAGGAGGGAAGGAAAGAAAGGTAGAGAAGGAAGAAAGAAGGAAAAGAAAAGGGAGGGAGTGATATCGAGCTGCTTTTAGTGGGGTCTCCTTGAGAGAGAGAAACCCGAGGACCGCGCCTAAAGGGCTCTGGGTCCCTTGGTGAGGCCAGCGAGAGCCAATCCAAAGAGTAAAAATATTACAAATAATAATGCCTCATCCAAGTGGAAGAAGTTTTTCAGCAACCGAGGTTTATTGTGATTCAGCTGAGATCAGATGCATTGCAGGGATCATTCCACTGCAAGCATGATTTTACAGAATTTCCAAGCATTTTTATAGCATGCAGACAAAGGAAAACAGTTTCAAAAATCCCGCCCGCCCTCTGTCAGCCGGCTTCGTGCTGATTGGCTGGCCGCGGAACAGCTGGGAGGAGGCTTGGCAGCACGCCTCGCCTCTGGACCAATCAGCGGGCTCCGCTGCCTCTGGGAGGCCAATCAGTGCCTTCCTAGCGCCTCTGAAGATGGACCAATCGGCAGCCAGGAGGCGGGACGAAGCCTGACAAAGACTGAGGAAATGACAGCCTTAAGGGCATCCGCCAGTTGGAATGTGAGGCTTTTGTTCTCACATGGCGGGGTGTCAGATAGGGGAACAATGAGCTTCCTGGTCTGTGATGGGATTTGGGAGGAAGTATGAAAAGAAGCTTTCGGCGATATTGGACCTCAAAAGGGGGGATCAACAATATCAAAAATGATTTAATCAGTCTTTTCTTCCTGAGTTTCTGTTGACTCCCCCTCCCCTCACTGTCTGCTCTGAAAGTCAGGATCGGGGGAAAGACAACAGCACGGCCCATGCAAATGTAATTAAGAATAGTTTCGGGAGGACAAAGGAGTTCCTCCTTATGACAGTAATCCCCAGGTCACATCTTTTTGGGGCAAGGGTCAAAGGGAAAGGCGGGAAGGGGAATCAGAGTACATTCCATATGATATTACATTATAAACATTCCATACATTTCATATATTTCATGAGCAAATCCCATCCCCACCCCAAGCAAAGTTTTATTACAATATTTGATCTTATTATAGCACAAACTGGAGGCTTCATAAACTTTGAAGAGGATCTGTGGAAGCGGAGGCTGTCTGCATCTCAAGTCAGGCACCAATAGAGAGTTCGTGGTCATGGATATGATAAACAGTTCAGTTCATGAAGCAGAGAGTCAATAAGAAAAGGCAGAAGTCCAGTGATGGGCGCTGAGTTGGGTAGTAACAGAGTCCATTGCCCGGCCCTTGGCGAACTAGATCTTCCGAGCTGGGGCTGGGGTTCCCGCCTGGCCGCTTCTCTGGGGCTTCTTATGTGAGCCCACAGCAAGCCCCTGATGGCAGGGCCGGGCGGGAACGAGTGGTAGCAAGGGAAAAACAGGCTGCTTTCGCCGAGCCGGCAGAGTTTTGGCAATCAGCTGTTTGCTGTCAGATAATAATGCTTTAAACAAAATGATTATTCCCCGAGCGCAGGAGTCCAAAATGAGGAAAGCGAGATAGCAGTTAGTCTTAGAATTAATAGCAGAAAAATACAAAATTAGAACGGCGCCAATCCGCCATGTTACTGTTTTAGTGGTTACTGGGGTCCAAAATGGCGGTTTCAGTATCCGCGAATTGGGCGAACACAGATCCAGGGTCCGGGGGGTGCCTGGAGGCACCTCCCCGCAGGCTCACGGCTCTCCGGAGCCTGGAAAAAGGGTTATTTTAATGTTGAATTAGTCTGAGGCAGGAAAGATACAAAAGTATCAAGCGGAAAGATTAAATGTTGCAAGTTTCAAGTGCTTTATTAGGGGAATGATACAATGTAAGGAGAAGGGGAAAGCAAAAGAAAGGCTGCAGGCATTCTTATTATTGAGCTGCCTGCTGGGGCACATTTCATCAGTTTCTTCCAAATGTGACAACCAGGAACTGCGGAACTCTCCGCTGCAGTGCAGGCCAATCGATGGCGGGGGGTCCCCGCCATCAGGAGGAAAGAAGGAAGGAGAAAAGAAAGAAGGAAAGAGAGAAGGAAGTATGGAAGCAAAGAGCCACAGAAGGAAGGGAGGAAGGAAGAGGAAAAAGAAAAGGGAGCGAGGAAGGAAAGAGAAAAGGAAAGAAGCAAATGAGAGAAAGAAGGAAAAGGAAATGGGGGAGTGAGGGAGCAAGGAAAGAGAGGAGAGAAGGAAAGAGGGAAAGAGGGAGAGAAAGGGGGAGTGAATTAACACAACTCAAAAACCACTGGACGAATTGACACCAACTGTGGACACAAGACACAACAAGTGACCATCACTCCCAAATCACTGAAAAACACAGCAGAAGGGACTTAACAAGCAAAAAATATACATTAAATGCATGCACAAAACCACATAAATACACATATACACAAATATACTCACACAAAACATATACACAGCCTGGGCCACAGCAATGCCTGGCAGGGGCAGCTAGTCCAGAAAGGAAGGAAGGAAGGAAAGGAAGGGAAGAAAGAAGGGAAGGAAGGAAGGAAGGAAGGAAGGAAGGAAGGAAGGGAATGAAGGAAGGAAAGAAGGAAGGAAGGAAAGGAAGGGAAGAAAGAAGGGAAGGAAGGAAGGAAGGAAGGAAGGAAGGAAGGAAGGAAGGAAGGAAGGAGAAGGGAAGAAGGAAGAAGGAAGGAAGGAAGGAAGGAAGGAAAAGAAAGAAAGGAGAAAGGAGGAGAAGGAGAGGAGGAAGAAAGGAAAGAAGGAAGGAAGGGAAGGAAAGAAAGGAAAGAGAAGAAGAAGGAAGAAGGAAGAAGGAAGGAAGGAAGGAAGGAAAGGAAGGAAGGAAGGAAAGGAAGGAAGGAAGAAAGGAAGGAAGAAAGGAAGGAGAAAGGAAAGAAGGGAGAAAAGAAGGAAGGAAGGAAGAAAGGAAAAAGGAGAAAAAAAGAAAGGAAGGAAGAAGGAGGAAGGAAGGAAGAAGGAAGGAGAAAGAAAAGAGAAGAAAGAAAGAAAAGAAAGGAAGGAAGGAGGAAAAGGAGAAAGGAGGAAAGAAAGAAGAAAGGGGGAAGGAAGGAAGAAGGGAAAAGAAAGAGAAAAAGAAAGAAGGAAGGAAAGAGGAAGGAAGGAAAAAAAGAAAGGAAGGAAGGAAGGAAAGGAGAAAGGAAGGAAAGAAGAAGAAAGGGAAGGAAGGAAGAAAGGAGGAAGGAAGGAAGGAAGGAAGGAAGGAAGGAAGGAAGGAAGGGGAAGAAAGAAAGAAAGAAAAAGAAAGAAGGAAGGAAGGAAGGAAGGAAGGAAAGGAGAAAGGAAGGAAAGAAAGAAGGGGAAGGAAGGAAAGAAAGGGAAGAAAGAAAGAAAAAGAAAGGAAGGAAAGGAAAGGCAGGAAGGAAGGAGGAGGAAGGAAGGAAGAAGGAAGGAAGGGAAGAAAGAAAGAAAAAGAAAGGAAGGAAGAAAGGAAAGGAGAAAGAAGGAAAGAAAGAAGGAAAGGGAAGGAAGGAAGGAAGGAAGGAAGGAAGGAAGGAAGGGAAGAAAGAAAGAAAAAGAAAGGAAGGAAGGAAGGAAGGAAGGAAGGAAAGGAGAAAGGAAGGAAAGAAGGGAAGGAAGGGAAGGAAGGAAGGAAGGAAGGAAGGAAGGAAGGAAGGAAGGAAGGAGAAGGAAAGAAAGGGAAGAAAGAAAGAAAAAGAAAGGAAGGAAGGAAAGGCAGGAAGGAAGGAAGAAAGAAAAAGAAAGGAAGGAAGAAAGGAAAGGAGAAAGGAAGGAAAGAAAAGGAAGGAAGGAAGGAAGGAAGGAAGGAAGGAAAGGCCAAGCCAAGCCCGGCACCAGAGGGCGCCCTCCCTCCTTCCTTCCTTCCTTCCTTCCCAGTGTTTTGGACTTCACCTCCCACCATTCCTAGCAGACATCCGGTCTGACGTCACTTCCGGAAGGGCTTTGTGGGGGAAAGGGGCGGAGTTTCCTTGGGCGGGAAAGGAGAGTAGACACAAAGAGAGAAGGAGGAAGGCGCCTCAGGAAAGGTTAGGAATGGCCGTGTGTGTGTGTGTGGAGATGGGGAAAGCTTTTATCATATATTTGTGTCTATATATATGTGGTTTGGCGCATGTATTGTAATATCTCTTTGGCTTTTTAAGCCCCTTCTGCTGTGTTTTCCAGTGTTTTTAGGAGTGATGGCCACTCCCTGGCCTGAGAGGGGTCTTGTGTCTAAGTTTGGTGTCACAGAATCATAGAATCAAAAAGTTGGAAGAGACCTCCCTGGGCCCTCATCCAGTCCAACCCCATTCTGCCAAGAAGCAGGAATATTGCATTCAAATCACCCCTGACAGATGGCCATCCAGCCTCTGCTTAAAAGCTTCCAAAGGAGGAGCCTCCACCACACTCCCTCTGGGGCAGAGAGTTCCACTGCTGAACGACTCTCACAGTCAGGAAGTTCTTCCTCATGTTCAGGTGGAATCTCCTCTCTTGTAGTTTGAAGCCATTGCTCCATTGCGTCCTAGTCTCCAGGGAAGCAGAAAGGAAGCTTCCTCCCTCTTCCTCCCTGTGGCTTCCTCTCACATATTTATCCATGGCTATCATGTCTCCTCTCAGCCTTCTCTTCTTCAGGCTAAACATGCCCAGCTCTTAAGCCGCTCCTCATAGGGCTTGTTCTCCAGACCCTTGATCATTTTAGTCGCCCTCCTCTGGACACATTCCAGCTTAGAGTCAATATCTCTCTTGAATTGTGGTGCCCAGAATTGGACACAATATTCCAGGTAAAGTGGTCTAACCAAAGCAGAATAGAGGGGTGTCAATTCGTCCAGTGGTTTTTGAGTTATGTTCATCCCACAAACAAACATGACATTTTTATTTATATAGATAACTAGCCGTCCCCTGCCACGTGTTGCTGTGACCCACTCTGTGTATATGTGTGTTTCTTGTGTGTGTATATATTTGTGTATATATGCATATATGTGGTTTTGCGCAGGCGTTGTAATATATTTATTTATTTATTTTGCTTTTTAAGTCCCTTCTGCTGTGTTTTTCATTGTTTTTACGTGTGATGGTCACTCGTTGGCCTGATGTGTGTCTTGTGTCCAAATTTGGTGTCCATTCGTCCAGTGATTTTTGAGTTATGTTCATCCCACAAGCAAACATTACAGTTTTAATTAGATAGATTACTAGCTATTATTATTATTATTATTATTATTATTATTATTATTATTATTATTATTACTGCGCTTGTATACCGCCGTTTCCCAGCCTACATTGGCGACTCAACGCGGTTTACAACACTACAATAATCAACAATATTCAGTTTAAAAAGCATAAAAACACATACACAATACACAGTATTGGGCCACCAATACAAACCAATGCATCTCTTAACTAAAATCATAATCCAATTTCATCGTCTGTGATTACCAGTCCTTGATCATCAACTTCATTGCACCGGATTAGCCGAATGCTTGTTCAAACATCCATGTCTTCAGTCTTTTTCGAAATACCATCAGCGAGGAGGCTGATCTTATCTCTATGGGGAGGGCATTCCAAAGCTGAGGGGCCACCACAGAAAAGGCCCTGTCTCTCGTTCCCGCCAGCTGCACCTGTGAAGCAGGTGGGATAGAGAGCAGGGCCTCCCCCGAAGATCTAAGGGCCCTGGTGGGCTGATAGGCCGAGATACGTTCGGATAGATATGTTGGGCCAGAACCGTTTAGGGCTTTAAAGGCCAGCGCCAGCACTTTGAATTGGGCCCGGTAGCAGATTGGCAGCCAGTGGAGCTGGTACAGCAGAGGAGTTGTATGCTCCCTGCGCCCTGCTCCTGTTAGTATCATGGCTGCTGAGCGTTGGACTAACTGGAGCTTCCGGGCCGTCTTCAAAGGCAACCCCACGTAGAGAGCGTTGCAGTAGTCAAGACGGGATGTAACCAGAGCGTGGACTACCGTGGCCAAGTCAGACTTCCCAAGGTACGGTCGCAGTTGGCGCACGAGTTTAACTGTGCGAATGCTCCCCTGGTCACCGCCGAAACCTGGGGTTCCAGGCTCAGCGATGAGTCCAGGATCACACCCAAACGGCGAACCTGCGTCTTCAGGGGGAGTGCGACCCCGTCTAACACAGGCTGTAACCCTATACCCTGTTCGGCCTTACGACTGAACCAGGAGTACCTCTGTCTTGTCTGGATTCAATTTCAATTTGTTCGCCCCCATCCAGACCGTCACAGCGGCCAAGCACCGGTCCAGGACCTCGACAGCCTCCTTAGTAGCAGGTGGAAAGGAGTGACAGAGTTGGACATCATCTGCGTACAGATGACATCGCACTCCGAAACTCCGGATGATCTCGCCCAGCGGCTTCATGTAGATGTTAAACAACATGGGAGACAGTATTGAACCCTGAGGAACCCCACAAAACAAAGGTTGTGGGGTAGAACAGGAGTCCCCCAGTAACACCTTCTGAGACCGACCCTCGAGGAATGACCGGAGCCACTGCAAAACAGTACCTCCAAGACCCATCCCCGCGAGGCGTCCCAGAAGGATACCGTGGTCGACGGTATCGAAGGCCGCTGAGAGGTCCAGCAGCACCAACAGGGACACACTCCCCCTGTCGAGCTCCCGGCGCAGATCATCCACTAAGGCGACCAAGGCTGTCTCGGTACCATGTCCCGGCCTAAAGCCAGACTGTGCCAGGTCTAGATAATCCGTGTCTACCAAGAATACCTGGAGTTGTGAGGCCACCACACGTTCCATGACTTTGCCCAAGAAGGGGAGATTGGAAACAGGCCGATAGTTGACGAATTGAGTGGGGTCCAGTGATGGTTTCTTCAACAGCGGTTTTATCACAGCTTGCTTTAAGCTGGCTGGAATTTTGCCTTCCCGAAGGGAGGCATTAACCACCACCTTCACCCACTCGGCCAATCCCCCTCTGGCCTCCTTCAGAAGCCAGGATGGGCAGGGGTCTAGGATGCATGTGGTAGCTCTCATTCCTCCAAGCACCTTGTCCACATCCTCGGATTGAACCAATTGAAATGAATCCATCAAAATTGGACAAGCAGATGCTCGTGTTACATCCTCAGAGACTGCCGTTAATATGGTGTCCAGTCCAGAGCGGATCAAAGCGACTTTGTCTGCAAAGAACTGAGCAAAGGCTTCACAGCGAGCTGCCGAGTCATCAGGGCACCCATCCTGAGTGGCGGGTTTTAATAGGCCTCTGACAACTCGGAACAGTTCAGCCGGACGGTTCTTTGCAGACGCAATAGTGGCCGCAAAGAAAGTTCTTCTTTGCGGCTTTTATTGCCGCGGCATATGCCCTTAAAAAGGACACAAACCGTGTTCGATTTGGCTCGCTCGGATCCGAACGCCACACGCTCTCTAGTTCCCTCTTCTTTCGCTTCAACGCTGCCAGCTCCTCAGTACTAGCTATCCCCTGTCACGTGTTGCTGTGGCCCACTCTGTGTATATGTGTTTTTGTGTATGTATATATTTGTATATATGTGGTTTTGTGCATGAGTTGTAATGTATTTTTTTATATATATTTTGGCTTTTTAAGCCCCTTCTGCTGTGTTTTTCATTGTTTTTACGTGTGATGGTCACTCGTTGTCCTGAGAGGTGCCTTGTGTCCAAATTAGGTGTCCATTCGTCCAGTGGTTTTAGAGTTATGCTAATCCCACAAACGAACATTACATTTTTATTTATATAGACTAGCCATCCCCAGCCACGCGTTGCTGTGGCCCAGTCTGTGTATATATGTTTTTTGTGTGTATATGTGTGTATATATGTGGTTTTGCACATGGGTTGTATTTTTTGGCTTTTAAAGTTGTCTTTGCTTTTAATCAGTATGTTGCCTGGGCCTGGCCCCATATAAGCCACCCCGAGTCCCCTTGGGGAGATGGAGGTGGGGTAGAAAAATAAAGTTCTTCTTCTCCTTCCTTCCTTCCTTCCTTCCTTCCTTCCTTCCTTCCTTCCTTCCTTCCTTTCCTTGTTCCTTCCCTTCCTCTTCCCTTCCTCTCCCATTCCTGCTTCCTTTCCCTTCCTCTTTCTTTCCTTCTACCTTTCCTTCCATTCATAATCTCCTCTTCACCAATCCTTTTCTTCATTTCTTTTCTCTTCTCCCTTTCTTTTCCCTCCTTCCTCCGGGACAGTTTGTAACGGTTTTTAAGGGGTTTTTTTTGGGGGGGGGGGGATAGGGGGGATGTGGAGCCCAAGTGGGAGAATTACTGGCCTTCCCATGGTTCGCATCCTCTCTTCACCCAACTGGGGAGGGGGTGCAGCCGCTCTTGCTTGCCTTGCAATCCTCTGGTTTTGGGGGAAGAGTTGCCTGGTAGCCACGTGGGCCTCATGGAGCTGCTTCGGTGGCTCCAGCTGCTGCCGGGGCTTGCCTTGCCAAGCCCCCACCCCTCCATTGGGCCAGGCCTTCTCCTTCCTTCCCTCTTTCCTTTCCTCAATCCCTTGCCTCCCCAAAAGAAAGAGGACTCTGGTTTGGAGTGCAGTTTTCTTGTACTGATTATTTGTCTGCTGTGCTTTGAGAAGTTTCCGATTGACTTCCATCAAAGCAGGTTCTTGTCTTTCCTTGACATATTCTGCCATGGCGTGTTTTTCTTCTCCAACCGCTTGTATTATTATTATTATTATTATTATTATTATTATTATTATTATGTCGGAGGGGGGCTTTGATGGTGCTTTTCCTGCGTGAAGGCAGAAAGAAGGGGGTTGGACGAGGTGGCCTTTTGTTGGAAATTGCAACCTTCTCCAAGCCTCCTCTAGTAATCTGCTGATCTCTAATCCCGTGGCTTACTTCTTGTACGCGTGTTCTGGGATGCAGCTTTCTTTATTTGCTCTGTGTTTTTCCTGAGAAGTTGTGGGAGGGGCTTCAGACCATGAGATCCGTTCTGGTGTGAGCACAGGCTTCGTTAGGCTTTGGGACGGCTCAGAGCGCAAGCTTGCAAACAGTTGTTGTTTATTCTAAGGCAGACGCTCTGACCGGATGGCTCAGAAACCATCTGTAACTGAACCCATTGTCCAGAGTGAATGACACCCTTTACTATTGGGAGGAGCTCCTTCTTTCCGCTTGTCTCCTCTGCTTCCCAGCCTTCTGTTCCTTTGGCCACATTTGGGGTCGATTCCGTGAACTCAGCGTGACTCTAATGTTGGAAGGAAAGAGTTGCCCTCCCTCCTCTTTCCTTCTATTACTCTATCCTTCCTTCCTTCCACCTCTCTTTCTTGCCTTCTGAATCTGGATTTGAGATCCATCCAATCACATCAGCAGCCTTTCCTTCCTGCTTTCCATCCATCCTTTCTTCTGTCCTCCATCCCTCATTTCCTTGCTTCCCTCCCTTCCTTTCTTGTCTCCTCTTCCTTGAGGTCCTTATTTATGTATTTATTTATTTATTATTTGCAGCTTTTCTATTCGGCCCTTCTCCTCACCCCGCAGGGGACTCAGGGCGGATTGCAGTGTACACATATATGGCAAACCTTCCATGCCAATTTGACATACAAACATATACAGACATACACAGAGGCTATTTAACTTTTTCTGGCCGCCAGAGGAGCGGTCGCTTTCATCGTCCATCTGTGACGCTGATGAAGCACTTCCGCATTCCCTGCATGCTTCCCCGCTGGAATGCTTTGCTGGAGTCTTCTTTATGGCCTCCTAAATCAGTTAATTTAGCCTCCCCACACTTTTTAAAGGTGGTACCTAATTTTCCTACTTGACAGATGCAACTGCGCCCGTACCTTGGGAAGTCTGACTTGGCCACGGTAGTCCACGCTCTGGTTACATCCCGTTTAGACTACTGCAACGCTCTCTATGTGGGGTTGCCTTTGAAGACGGCTCGGAAGCTCCAATTAGTCCAACGGTCGGCAGCCATGATACTAACTGGAGCGGAGCACAGGGAGCGCACAACTCCTTTGCTGCACCAGCTCCACTGGCTGCCGATTTGCTACCGGGCTCAATTCAAAGTGCTGGCGTTGGCCTTTAAAGCCCTAAACGGTTCTGGCCCAACCTACCTATCCGAACGTATCTCGGCCTATCAGCCCAGGACCCTAAGATCTTCTGGGGAGGCCCTGCTCTCTATCCCGCCTGCTTCACAGGTGCGGCTGGCGGGGACGAGAGACAGGGCCTTTTCTGTGGTGGCCCCTCGGCTCTGGAACGCCCTTCCCATGGAGGTAAGATCAGCCTCCTCGCTGATGGTATTCCGAAGAAGACTAAAAACTTGGATGTTCAAGCAGGCATTTGGTTAATTCGGTGCAATGAATGTGTTGATTACGGATTGGTAATATGGATGATGAAATTGGACCACGATTTTAGTTAGGAGATGTATTGGATTGTGATTTACGTGTAATATTGTGTTTTATGTTTTTTATGGTTTTAATTGTATACTGTGCACTGTATATTTTGTTGTAAACCGCGTTGAGTCGCCAGTTAGGCTGAGAAACGGCGGTATACAAGGACAGTAAATAAATAAATAAATAAATAAATAAATAAACTGTCTTTCGGGTTGCAAAGGTCGACAACAGGCTACACACAATTGGTTGGAAACCCACTCCAACCCGGGCTGGCTTCAAACTCATGACCTTTTTGGTCAGAGTGATCTTAATGCAGCTGACACTTAGCCAGCTGCGTCACAATCCCGGTCCTTGGAGCTAGAACCAACTCTGGTCCCAGTCGTGTTCATTAACTGAAATTGATTCTGGATACATTCTTCCTTGGGTTGTTGTAGGTTTTTCCGGGCTATATGGCCATGGTCTAGAGGCATTCTCTTCTGACGTTTCACCTGCATCTATGGCAAGCATCCTCAGAGGTAGTGAGGTCTGTTTATTTATTTCATTTACTTATACCCCGCCCTTCTCACCCCGGGGGGGACTCAGGGCGGCTTACAGTGGGGGCACAATTAGATGCCCAAGACAAATTCACAAGCAATACAAATACAACAATTAATTAAAAACATCAATACATAATAAAATCATAATAAAATCATAAAACAATCTCATGCTCAGGGTTCAGAGTCCATATATCCGTTCCATTCCATTTGTCCTTGACTATCATCCGATCCTTCAGTTAGCTTTCAGAATGACCAAAGGCTTGATCCCAGATCCAGGTCTTCAGTTTTTTCCTAAACACCAAGAGGGAAGATGCCGATCTGATCTCCCCGGGGAGTGAGTTCCACAGGTGGGGGGCCACCACTGAGAAGGCCCTGCTCCTCGTCCCCACCAGCCTCACTTGTGACAGTGGCGGGGTCGAGAGCAGGGCCTCCCCAGAAGATCTTAAGCTTCGAGGTGGGATGTAGAGGGAGATCCGTTCGGACAAATACACTGGGCCGGAACCGTATAGGGTTTTGTAGGTCAAAACCAGCACTTTGAATTGTGCTCGGAATTGGATCGGCAGCCAGTGGAGCTGGCGCAACAGGGGGGTGGTATGCTCCCTGTACGCCGCTCCGGTGAGCAATCTGGCTGCTTCTCGCTGGACTAGTTGAAGTTTCCGAGCAGTCTTCAAAGGCAACCCCACGTAGAGTGCGTTGCAGTAATCCAACCGGGATGTGACAAGAGCGTGGACCACCGTGGCCAAATCTGGCTTCTCAAGGTATAATGGCCTAACAGTGCCTGGAACAAACTTTTGTTGAGAGGTGATTAGATGTCCTTGTTTGTTTCCTCTCTGTTGTGCTGTTGTAATTTTGTAACCCATGAAGGGAAAAGGCGGGGGGTGGGGGGGGAATCTTGGTGGTAAAGTAGGTTCCTGGCCTTCATCGCTTCTCTTTTACTTCTTTTTTCTTGACCAGGGAAATGAGCATCGAGTGGAGCCACATCTGCTGTGGTGAGAAAGAAACCGGAATCTAGTGGCTATTGAGGAATTTGGAAACGAAGAGTGCAGTCAGAGAACCAATGGTGAAGGAAGAAGGAATCCTCTTAAAGTGCTGATCTTGCAGAACTCTTGGCCTCATTCACAGATCCAAAGGGAAAAAAGAAGAGTCAAGTGTCTATCGTTCGGTAAAAAATAAATATCACTCTCAAGATGGGGAAGAAACTCTATAAATGTTCTGAATGTGGGAAGAGCTTTCAATACACGCGCCTTCTGCAGCAACATGAAGTAACTCACACTGGGGAGAAACCCTACACGTGCTTGGAATGCGGAAAGAGCTTTGCTTGGAGTAAAACTCTGTGTTTACATCAAAGGACCCACACTGGGGAGAAACCCTACACGTGCCTGGAGTGTGGGAAGAGCTTTTTGCGGAGAGAAAATCTGCAGAAACATGAGAAAACTCACACTGGGGAGAAACCTTATACATGCATGGAGTGTGGGAAGAGATTTACTTTCTGTGCAAGTCTGAGTACACATCTAAGGATCCACACTGGGGAGAAACCTTATACATGCATGGAGTGTGGGAAGAGCTTCACTCAGAGTTCAAATTTACGTGTACATCAACGAAGTCACACTGGAGAGAAACCCCACACATGCTTGGAGTGTGGGAAGAGCTTCCTTCAGAGAGGTCATCTACGTAGGCATCAAAGAACTCACACTGGGGAGAAACCCTGTACATGTCTGGAGTGTGGGAAAAGCTTCTCTCATAATTGGTCTTTACGTTCACATCAAAGAACTCACTCAGGAGTTCCACACTCCTATCCATGCACTGAGTGTGGTAAAAGCTTCACTGCGAATGCAAGCCTACGTTTACACCAAAGGTTGCACACTGGGGAGAAACCCTATCAATGCCTGGAGTGTGGAAAGAGCTTCGCGCGGAGTGGAAATCTGCGTTCCCATCAAAAGACCCACACTGGGGAGAAACCCTATACTTGTGTGGAGTGTGGGAAAAGCTTTGCTGGGAGTACAGGTCTGCGTTCACATCAAAAGCTTCACACTGGGGAGAAATCGTTTAAATGCCTGGAGTGTGGAAAGAGCTTTGCGCATAGTTCACAACTACGTTCACATCAAAGGACTCACACTGGAGAGAAACGCTATCGATGCCTGGAGTGTGGAAAGAGTTTCACTCACAGTACAGGTTTACGCGCACATCAAAGATACCACACTGGGGAGAAACCCTACACATGTGCTGAATGTGGGAAGAGCTATAGTCGAATGGACGCTCTGCAGCACCATGAAAAATCTCACACTGGGGAGAAGCCCTATACATGCCTGGAGTGTGGAAAGAGCTTTGCTCAAAAGGGGACCCTGTCTGAACATCAAAGCATTCACACTGGGGAGAAGCCCTATACATGCCCGGAGTGTGGAAAGAGCTTTGCTCAAAAGGGGACCCTGTCCGCACATCAAAGGAGCCACACTGGGGAGAAGCCCTATACGTGCCTGGAGTGTGGGAAGAGCTTTGCGCAAGCGGGAAACCTACTTAGTCATCAAAGGACTCACTCTGAGGAGAAACCGTACACATGCCTGGAGTGTGGAAGGGGGTTCAATGCTAATGGGAGTCTGCGTAGACATCAAAGGACCCATACTGGGGAGAAGCCCTATCCATGCCTGGAGTGTGGGAAGAGCTTCGCCGTGAGTGGGACTTTGCGTGCACATCAACAGACTCACGCTGGAGAGAAACCCCATACATGTGGGGAGTGTGGGAAGAGCTTTGCGCTACGTTCATATCTATGTAGACATCAAAGCACTCACCTTGGGGATAAACCATAAACTGGTCGCCCTACGTTGGAAACAGAATCCATTCGGTAGGTTTAAGTTGAGTTTGTATCTAAGTCAGAACAGATGACTTTTAAAGTATAATCCTAGCCAGGTTGAAAGTGTTGATAGGATAGGGAATGGTTATCACCCCTGTGACATTCCCTTTGATGTTTTGTCCAAGGCTTTCATGGCCGGAATCACTGGGTGGTTGTAGGTTTCTTCAGGCTATATGGCCATGTTCTAGAGGCATTCTCTCCTGACGTTTTGCCTGCATCTGTGGCAAGCATCCTCAGAGGTTGCCACCTCACTCCCTCTGAGGATGCTTTTTTACTATTAAAAAAAGAAAGAAAGCAGGTAAACAAGAGCCTGTGCCACCCATGGAGTTTTCCGTTACTATTCAATTACAATTTTCTATCCATTTGTGTATATTGTGTTTTATTATTATTATTATTATTATTATTATTATTATTATTCCCATTATTATTAGCAGGTTGTTGTTATGTTCATTGTTATTTTAGATTAGAGCATGCAAAATGCAAATATGCTCAATGATGGTACGTACCACTTGTATTAAGAGGTCACGTAGTTTCCCGTCATACGGGTACTGGTTCTTTATTGTCACATTTTTGAAACAATGGTTCACTGTATATTATGATAATAAAAATTATTAAGGAAAAGAATTAGAAAGAAAGCAAATACAAACGTTTCGAAGGAAGGTTTTGGGGAAGACAATGGGCATTTTTCTCTTGTGGCAGAAGCGACTTGAGAACATACTGCAAGTTGCTTCTGGTTTCAGAGAATTGGCTGTCTACAGAGATGTTGCCTGGATGTGTTAGTGTCAGGAGTCAATTTCTGAGGGCATGAAGACATCACAAATTCCCTCCGTGACATCCTGACTGAATCATCCTGGCTGCCTTTTCTCTCTGTGACATTTTGAAGGCAGAGAGGGCGCTGGAAACCTTGTATTGGAACTTGTGAAGCAACAAGCTCTAATAAGGAAACTGAGAAGGAGGGGAGGTGGGCAGGAAAGGTGTATAAAAGGAAGTGGTGGTGGGAAAAAGTCGGAAGTGTCTTCCTTTGCTGCAGAGATACAAGCAATATATTCATTTCAAAGCAAAACCGGCTTGTGAGTGATCATTTAATATTGCTATATAAAACATACAGTCTTACAGTTAGCTCAAGTGAGGCGGAGTTCTGGGCTCTGAGCATGGCATGCACCAGTGTTTCTCAACCTTCCTAATGTCGCGACCCATTAATACAGTTCCTCATGTTGTGATGACCCCCAACCATAACACTATTTTCGATGCTACTTCATAACAATAGTTTTGCTCCTGTTATGAATCGTAATGTAAATATCTGATTTGCAGGATGTATTTTCATTCACTTGACCAAATTTGACACAAATACCCAATACACCCAAATTTGAATACTGTTTGGGGGGGGGGGGGGGTTGATTTCATAATTTGGGGGGGGTGGGGGGGTGGGGTGGGGGGGGGGTTGATTGTCATTTGGGAGTTGTAGTTGCTGGGATTTGTAGTTCACCTACAATCAAAGAGCATTCTGAACTCCACCGACAATGGAATTGAACCATACTTGGCACACAGAACTCCCATGACCAACAGAAAATACTGGAAGGGTTTGGTGAGCATTGACCTTGAGTTTTGGAGTTGTAGTTCACCTACATCCAGAGCACTGTGGACTCAAACAATGATGGATCTAGACCAAACTTGGCATGATATACTCAATATGCCCAAATGTGAACATGGTGGAGTTTGGGGAAAATAGACTTGACATTTGGAAGTTGTAGTCCTAGGATTTATAGTTCACCTACAATCAAAGAGCATTCTGAACCCCACCAATGATAAAATTGGGCCAAACTTCCCACCCAGAACCCCCATGAACAACTGAAAATACTGTGTTTTCTGATGGTCTATAACGACCCCTCTGACACCCCCCCCCCCAGGGGTCCTGACCCCCAGGTTGAAGACCTGTGTAGTAAAGCCATTCCCGAGGGACTTGCAGATCTCGTTGAGGACCCCACAACAACTGTCGAAGGCCACATGCGCATGCATGGCTACCCAAGCCAGGGTAAAGCCAAGGAGAAAGCTTGAAGACATTCACACTTGTGCCCCCCCCCCCCCCCAATTCTCAGGGTGGTCCACGAGAAGACCTTACTGGTACATTATTCAAACTGTTATGTTTATTCATATCATGATCTGATTACCATGATCAGTATATCCCATATGCATGGGGCTATTGGGACGATGATACAAAAGCCCCCCCCCCCCCCCCCCCCCCACGCGAATCAAAATCCTGACTATGGGCCTGGCTGCGCCCAGAGGCTGGCTGGGCCTGGGAGGCTTCTCTCACGTTCCTGCAAACTAGAGCTGACAGACGGGAGCTCACCCTGTCTCGCGGATACGAACCAGCAACCTTCAGGTCAGCAGTCCATGTTTAACCCATTGCACCACTGCGGCTCCTCAAAACATATTAAATGGCAATGAGATCAGTTCTAGGAAACCAACATGTATTTCAAGCCATTTTTAACTGTTGTAAATTTTACCCATTTGTGTGTTAGTCTCATTCATCTTTTTTTTTGGTTGTGTCAGGAGCGACCTGAGAAACTGCAAGTCGCTTCTGGTGTGAGAGAATTGGCTGTCTGCAAGGACGTTGCCCAGGGGACACCTGGATAATTTGATGTTTTTATCTTTCTCGTAGGAGGCTTCTCTTATGTCCCCGCATGAGGAGCTGGAGCTGATAGAGGGAGCTCATCCGCCTCTCCCCGGATTCAAACCTGCGACCTGTCGGTCTTCAGTCCTACCGGCACAGAGGTTTAACCCACTGCGCCACCCACTTATTCACCTGCACACCTTCGGTGCAACAAGGGTCTTTGGACCATAATAAGATGATCTTGCTGTTGTTGTTTATGGCAATGACAACTAGCTTTTGTAAATATCGTTGGTTTTATTATTGTTCTGTTAGGCACTGTTGTTCTAAGACATTGTGTCTGTTATTTTCGAAATGTATTTTGAGTTAGTGTTCTGTGATGTCGGAATGGCATCGAAAGGTGGTGAGGGGGAGAGGGTGGGACGTAAAGCAACGGAAATGGAAGGAATCAATGCCTTCTTGGCCCAGAGGCAGCGCGCCCACCGAGAGCCCGGCCGAGATCCGGCATGACCGGCGACGACGCTGCAGAAGATCCACAAGCAAGAAACCGAAACATAGATTTGCTTCCGACAGTTTAATACATTTTATTAAAGCATATCCCGTTCTGGATGTCGATTTTAGCTTTCATTTCAGGTGAAAAGAATGGCGACTGAACCCTGAAAACCAAGGACCGCAGGTAGGCACAGGCTCATGTCCCGTGTGGGCCTGCCTTTGCCTTCAGGGCATGGCCATGGCACTCACAGCTAGGCAAAGGCAATGCGCTTCGGAAATGCGTGCAGAGGGCCTGTTTCCGAGAATGGGGAAAAGACCCTCGGGAATGTGCAAAACACCTGGCAGGAGAGAGGGCCAGAGTTACATGTTAAGGCATCTCCCCAGGGTTGGGTAGAATCCTAGAATCAAAGAGTTGGAAGAGACCTCCTGGGCCATCCAGTCCAACCCCATTCTGCCAAGAAGCAGGAATATTGCATTCAAAGCACCCCTGACAGATGGCCATCCAGCCTTTGTTAAAAGCTTCCAAAGAAGGAGCCTCCACCACACTCCGGGGCAGAGAGTTCCACCGCTGAACGGCTCTCACAGTCAGGAAGTTCTTCCTCATGTTCAGATGGAATCTCCTCTCTTGTAGTTTGAAGCCATTGTTCCATTGCGTCCTAGTCTCCAGGGAAGCAGAAAACAAGCTTGCTCCCTCCTCCCTGTGGCTTCCTCTCACATATTTATACATGGCTATCATATCTCCTCTCAGCCTTCTCTTCTTCAGGCTAAACATGCCCAGCTCCTTTAGCCGCTCCTCATAGGGCTTGTTCTCCAGACCTTGATCATTTGAGTTGCCCTCCTCTGGACACATTCCAGCTTGTCAATATCTCTCTTGAATTGTGGTGCCCAGAATTGGACACAATATTCCAGATGTGGTCTAACCAAAGCAGAATAGAGGGGTAGCATTACTTCCTTAGATCTAGACACTATGCTCCTCTGATGCAGGCCAAAATCCCATTGGCTTTTTTTGCCGCCACATCACATTCCTGGCTCATGTTTAACTTGTTGTCCACGAGGACTCCAAGATCTTTTTCACACGTACTGCTCTCGAGCCAGGCATTGTCCCCCATTCTGTATCTTTGCATTTCATTTTTTCTGCCAAAGTGGAGTATCTTGCATTTGTCACTGTTGAACTTCATTTTGATAGTGGCCCATCATCTCTCTAATCTGTCAAGATCGTTTTGAATCCTGCTCCTGTCCTATGGAGTATTGGTTATCCCTCCCAATTTGGTATTGTCTGCAAACTTGATGATCCTGCCTTCTAAGGATTCCATAGAATGGAACCATGGCGGCAAGAAACTAGTCCAATGTGGGCTAGGAAAAACTACGGTGAGGTGGATCTGGAATTGGTTAAATGGACAACCCAGAGGGTGATTCTCCCCAAGGCTTCCTCTTCATCCTGGAAAGAAGTGATGAGTGGAGTGCCACAAGCAGGGTTCCCTCCTGGGCCCGGTCCTGTTCAGGATCTTTATTAATGACTTAGATGAAGGGCTAGAAGGCAGGATCATCAAGTTTGCAGACGGGACCAAATTGGGAGGGAGAGCCTGTTACAGTATATGATTTCTGTAAGTCTTGACAAGAATCATCTCTTGCTTATATGTGTGTTGAGGAAGAACCACTCCCTGATTAGGATGTATATCAGGTGAAGTTTTCTTGATGCAGGTAGTGGGTGAAATGAAGTAATCAGAGATGGAACTACGCTACAAGGTTTGCTGGAAAGAAGCAGATTAATGCATTGTAAGTTTTTTCCTTCTGCAGTGGACAATGTGTTTTCAAGGCTACTGTATTTTTTCTTTATAAAATACATGTGCTGACTATTCAAGAGTAAAGACATTTTTCTTTTATACTCTGTGTACTTCAACTTGGGGCCTGGAGCTGGGAAGACTGCTGTGTATTTTCAATATAAACTAACAAACCGCAACAGGTTATGCAATAGTCCAGAGGACAGGAGCAGAATTCAAAACTATCTTGACAGATTAGAGAGATGGGCCAAAACTAACAAAATGAAGTTCAACAGTGACAAATGCAAGATACTCCACTTTGGCAGGAAAAACGAAATGCAAAGATACAGAATGGGGGACAATGCCTGGCTCGAGAGCAGGACGTGTGAAAAAGATCTTGGAGTCCTCGTGGACAACAAGTTAAACATGAGCCAGGAATGTGATGTGGCGGCAAAAAAAGCCAATGGGATTTTGGCCTGCATCAATAGGAGCATAGTGTCTAGATCTAAGGAAGTAATGCTACCCCTCTATTCTGCTTTGGTTAGACCACACCTGGAATATTGTGTCCAATTCTGGGCACCACAATTCAAGAGAGATATTGACAAGCTGGAATGTGTCCAGAGGAGGGCGACTAAAATGATAAAGGGTCTGGAGAACAAGCCCTATGAGGAGCGGCTTAGGGAACTGGGCATGTTTAGCCTGAAGAAGAGAAGGCTGAGAGGAGACGTGATAGCCATGTATAAATACGTGAGAGGAAGCCACAGGGAGGAGGGAGCAAGCTTCCTTTCTGCTTCCCTGGAGTCTAGGACGCAAGGGAACAATGGCTTCAAACTACAAGAGAGGAGATTCCATCTGAACATGAGGAAGAACTTCCTGACTGTGAGAGCCGTTCAGCAGTGGAACTCTCTGCCCAGTGTGGTGGAGGCTCCTTCTTTGGAAGCTTTTAAACAGAGGCTGGATGGCCATCTGTCAGGGGTGATTTGAATGCAATATTCCTGCTTCTTGGCAGAATGGGGTTGGACTGGATGATGGCCCAGGAGGTCTCTTCCAACTCTAGGAATCTAGGATTCTATGATTCCCAATGTTACCTGACTAAATGTAGACCAATGATTCTCAACCTGTGGATCCTCAGGACCTTTGGCCT